AAAAAGTATAAAAAAATACTTTAAAAAGGCAAAATGGTGCACCAAAGTTTTGACAGCAAAAATTATAACGCTCAAAGGGTTGAAGCCCCCCCCCCCCAAAAGTTTCTGGTTAATTTATTTTCTAAAATTGTTTTGATGAAAGTTGAGAAGTGCACAATTTCAACACTGATGACAAGAGACATGAATAATGCATTTTCTCTATCACACACACACTTACTGTGAAATACTTTATTTTAGCTGGAATTAATTTTTTTTTTTTTGGGTGTTTTATATGGAATTTTTTTTCACTGATTTCTGACGAGTTGAATGTGAAATATAGGAAAAAGGTATATTCGCTGGATTTTATTTTAACTGAATCATCCCTCCAGCGAAAATTAATTCCAAGCGAAAATAAAGTATTCTACAGTATTATAGACTACTTTAGACGCCATTTTTTGAACATTTCATGACATCATATTGATCCAAACATTAAAATAACATTGCTAGCTAATTTTCTGACTTGTTTGCTATACATATCCCGAGACTGCTGAGACATGATTAGAACTGGTTAGTTCAAACCATTTGTCTAAATGCACGTATCCTTTTTACAGTCTTGTATTTTTATAGTTTTGTATTTTGTAGTTAGTGCAATTTTATTCAGTTTTCTGTTTGCAATAAAAATATGTGTTTTTTACTCTACTTTTGTTGTGGTGTGCATTTACAAAACAAGCGTTATGACGCTCAGGCATACCAGCAACATTTTAGATCGTGTCATTAAATGCATTTTGCTTGGATAACCATTCTATTTATTATATATAGCAATTTATAGAATGAAATAAAATAACTGAAAGGCAGCCGCATCATAATCTTCTATTTTTATTCAACATGTCTGAGTCACCCACTATTAGTTTGATCTCTCCTGTTGAGGTTGGATTGACCCAACTTGTTCTAATCGCTTAGCGCCATCCAGGCACGCATGGCAAGCCTGTCGCACACAGGGCGACTCCTAATTGGTCGTGGTGCGCACACAAAAAGTAATCAGCCAAGATATATGTCAGGAAAATATGGAAGCTATCATGATTTTTAAAGAAAAAAAACTAAAAAACATGGCAGATGTTGCAAGTTATTTGAATTATTCGTCAATTGTCGGAAATTGTCAGTCAGCAATATGAAGAACTTGGCTATACAGCTTAGCTGGTAGTGGCGCTAAAAATTACACTAGTTCACTTACCAAAATTACCAATAAACAGAGTTCCAGGAGAATTTAACTGAATTTCTGTTAAATCATAAAGTTCAGATATTACACCATATGTGTCAACTTGAATCGTTAATTGGCTTCCATCTCGAGTGACTCTCAAATCATGGTGTTGTCCATCGGCGTAATCTTGTTCGTCAATTTTTTCTTTATCTCCACCTCCAAAGTTGAATGTCACAACAATGTTACCTGAATTTTCAAGAAAATATTAAGATGAACTTGAGTATAGAAAGTTTATACAAGTCTTTTCTTTTCATGTGATCCAACAAAATTATTCTGGTTAAAGTACCTCCAGTGTTTCAGAGATACATTAGTAATGAGGGAAGTGCCAACTCTTAGTGAAATTTTATTTGGGAAAGTGACTTTGTCTAGGTTCACAACCACTTACTGCTTCTGGCTAAAAAACACATTTATTTTATGAAAATGAGAGACCGAAAAACTCCACTTTCCAACTTTTCTGAACCAAGTCAAGTATAACTATCATCTTGAATACAACATTGCTGTGAACAAAGACAAAATTGAAACTCACTGTAATAAGTGGATTAAAATCCACCAAATTGTTATGTCTTGAATGCACTTGTATATTAGTCTGTATATGTACCGCAGTGTATTCTGCTTACTGTATGTATTATGAATGATTACCAATAAAAACTTATAAATATATAATAAAAAAGTTTATACAAGTACACTGTAACCTTGTAACAAACTCTATTGGGTTATTACAAATGTGCAACGTGTTAATTATGTCGAATTCATTATAACGAGATTACAGCAAGATTAAGCTGAAGAGACAATCATGAGAACTGTGCATTCTACTGTTTTCTAGTTGGTTAAATTTACCGTCACCACACACACTATATGGCTGCAAAGTAATACGCATCATTACAAAGCCAAAAAAGCTACCCATGCTCTAGGCTTTGCGCTGGCCATGCTCTAGGCTTTGCGCTGGCCATGCTCTAGGCTTTGCGCTGGCCATGCTCTAGGCTTTGCGCTGGCCATGCTCTAGGCTTTGCGCTGGCCATGCTCTATGCGCATCTGCGCGTCAATGCAGTCTCGTGTGCATTCAAAAAACATGGCAGATATCATGTCGCATCGAACATTTACATGTGGCCGAAATCATTCGTTTATAATGAAATTGCATTTCATAACAATTCAATAAATTTATTTTTCGTGCGTTATAATAACTACTGAGTAATAATCAACAATTTCAATACTTTGAAAGTAAGTAAGTCATTCACTTGTGAACCGCAGCATGGCCGGTTTGAGTTACCGTACAGTGATCTACTAAGCAATGCATTTGTTTTTGTTTTTGTTTTAAACTTTTGTTAGAATATACTTTCTGTTAAATAAATGCATATTACATTGAATATACTGAGTAATTTTTTTATCGTGAACATTTTTTTTTTGATTGACTAATTTTTCAACATTTCGTGACGCCCATTTTAGTGAGGCCTTTCACTCTTCCCTGATGCCTAAATTAGAGTGACGCCTATATTCTAGAGATTGTACGGTGTATTGTTTATTTTGTGCATGCGTTGTGGGAAAAATGTCCATGGCCATTTAGAGATTGCAATATGTTTATA